AAAAGATGTATAAAAATTGAGTCTATGGATATCATTTTCGAGCAACTATTCTGTTTCTCCGGATCACCAAACATGTGTTCATGTCTAATAATAATAATAATAAAAAAAAGGAAATTACCCTTCGCATGAATTTTTAAAAGTTATTATACATTAATGGAAAAATTTATAATTTTAATAATTAATATTTATAATATTTACTATTTTTTTTACAAAATAAATTGTTTGACATCAATTGCGATGTAATTTCGGGGCTTTTCCCAAACTAAACCCTTTTTGCATGATATTTCTCAAACTAGGTCACCTTTTGACGGATTTCCCAAACTAAGTTAAAGCGTTATTACAAATCGCGCTTTTACTGTTAGGAGGCCAAAGTTTAATGAATAGTGAAATCGCTATTCAAAATCGCGATTTTAATTAAGAGAGCGCTGTTTCAAATCGCGCTTTTAACATAAAAAAAATTTTGTGAAAAAAACGCTATTTAAAATCGCTCTTTCACTGTGTATTTTTTTTTTTTTTTTTAGAAAACGCGAATTCATTTAATAAGGTCAAACATGTTTGAATGCAGAAGTAAAGTGGATTTATTAAAAACAGTTATAATAATTATTATTTGCTTTTATATATTTTTTAGTTTCCCTTCTGTTATTTTGGATAGTCATGACATGACTCATAAACATAAAAAAAATATTTTAAATAAAAAATTACAAAAATATTATTAGAGTGAAATATCAATGACATTTTAAAAATTATAAAAACAATAATGGTTGTTTTGATTGAAAATAAAGAGACTATTATAAATAAACCATATTAGCTATGAAATTTTTTGAACGCAACGGTGATATCATTATTAGTGATATGCAAGTATAAGTAATCTCACTATAAAGATATGAAATTTATTAGATTGTTAGTTACATTTGACATGTGAGGTTCACTCTTTATGCATTTATTTATCATTAATGGGTGATATCACATACCAATGATGACGTGGTATTACCATTATATTAAATTTTTAATCAAATTTTGTATCAAAAAATAATTTATCATTATATAATTTATTTTAAGGCTTATATCCATATTTTTTTTTTGTTTTATCCATGATACACTAGTTACAAATAACATTCAGCTTGTTTGTTTCTAGTTTTCAGAAAACAGTTTTTAGAAGATTTACTTTTTTATTTTTCGTATTTTAATATTTTGAATGAATTTTTTTAATATTTTAAGTAATTTTTTTTTAATTTTTAGACACACCTAACATAAATACACTTAAAAAGTATAATATTTGTAAAAAAAATATTTAAAAAATACATTAAATACAAAAAAAAACAAAAAAAAAATTCAGTATATTTTTTGTATTTTTGTGTATTTATTAATTTTTTAAAATATTTTTTTACAAATATTTTACTATTTAGATACATCTAAGTAAGGTGCATATAAAAAAGTAAAAAAATTACTTAAAATTCAAAAAATATTCACTAAAAACAAAAAAAAAACGAAAAATAAAAAAACTCAGTTTTCAAAAAACTGAATTCAGAAAACTAAAACCAAACACACTAATTATTATTATTATTTTTTTATATTTCTTGAAATCAATCATAAAAACTTACGTGAAATATTTTTGTAAAAATTATTGTAATTAATAAGTGCCCCCTCTAATTTAATTTTCTGGCTCCGCCCCTGGTTGTTCCGACTCGTAAAATCCATCACAAATTTCGTTTAGATAATCCGAATAATTTATTTTGTATGATTATTCGTGTATACTCTCCACCAATATATATATATATATATATCCGATAATCATAACATATTCAATATATGACATTTGTTTCCAAAAAAATGAATACTATGTTTTTAAGAATAAACCGCCTTCTTTTTCTTTTTCTTTTCCTTTTCCTTTTCCTTTTCCTTTTTTGTGTGTGTGTGTGTGTGTATGTGACAAAACACAATAAATTGAATTACAATTATCAAATAGAAAAACAAGATACATTAAATAGGTTACGATTATCAAACTGTCTTGTTTTTCATTTTTGTAGATAATATTCATCTACAAAATGAATGGTTCTGACTATTAAAAATATTAATTATTTTTATAATCCAAAAATTAAAAATAATATAAGTACATGATAAATTACCATTTATCAAGCATACAATTTTTAAAAATAATATTAAAATTTCCCATTAAGAAACTTCCACGTAATTAGTAAAATTAAAAGGAAAATATTAAGAAGTATTCAAAATTTGAAATATCAAATTAAATGTGATTGTAATCATAACAAATTGAAAACTACACCATAAATTTGAATTTTAAATACTTCTAAATAAATGTGTTTGAAACAACAAACATTTCTACTACATAATAAGCTAATTAAATGATGGTGTTTGACCTAATGGTTGTATAGCATCGCTTATAATATGAGATTTCATATTCAATTTTTATAAAAAAAAAAAAAAGGTTTGATATCTTTTATTGTGTTTATTGCTCCCTCATTATGAAGTTATATGTGTAATTCTTTTCTTCTCAAGTTCAAATTATTTATTATATTGAGCCTACTATTGTTAAACTTTAATTGTTCACTTTAATATAATACTTATCATATTTATAATTAATATCTCACCAAATAAAAACTAAATAAAACAATTTGATTATCCCAAATAGAACTCAAGATTGGGAGCTGTTGCATTTGGAAACTGCTATCATGCATCCTACATGCTGCAACTCGTTGTTACTTGACCAATAATAACGCCTTTGCCTAAATTATGAAAGGAAAATGTCAAATCAGTGATATTTATAAGGAAATAATTATAAATTAGTGATAAATTTTATACATATTAATAATTAAAAACATAATTTTTTTTTATGTATTTGTAATATTTTTGTTTAAAAAATAAAGTCTATTGTAATTTTCCCAATTATAAACTCAATAAAATCCCTTCTAAAAAAAAACTCAAGAAAATATTTTGTCTAATAGGTTGTACTGTATACTTGTTTTTCTCACATACACAATCATTCTTGATAAGTTCTACATCTATAATAGACACGCGAGTACACCACGATCCCAACATGATGATTGGCAAAATGGAATTTTTCAAAAAAAGAAAGAAAAAAATTACAATTCTGTCCAATCTTTTAAAAATAATTTGAAATAAATAGTAAATTTTATAAATATCAAAAATTATAATTATAATTTTTTTTCATAAATCTGCAATTATTTTGTGTCAAACCCACTTTAATATAACAGTGATGCTACATGTACTAATTAATGTACTAATTAGTGTACCAATACTAATTATGACATTATTATTGACCCCACACATTGTACAAATTACAAATACCAAAAGTCTATTAAATTATGTCACATTATCAATTGATACACTAATTAGTGTATTAATTGGTGCATACAACATTATTTTTAATATAATTTTTCCAAAACAAAAAAGAATAAAGTTTGTTGACTTTTTATACCATGAGCATTAACACTATGTTTGAATTTTGATATTATATTTTAGATTTATTAATAAAAATAAACTTGAAATATAAATAATAAGAAATTTTTTTTCACTTTATTTTTGTTATTGTTTTCTTTATTTTTTATTTTTCTCCGTAACTCCATAACCTAAGCATAGCATAGATTTGTAAAAAGAAAAGTGAAATAAATTTGGCAGATCCTACCTTGTGCAAAATAAAACAAAAATAAATAACTTCCCTCATTTTAGGGAATGATCAAATGAATAAGTGAAACATGTGTGGTTCTGATTTGTATTCACTTAACACTTATTTATAAATAACTTCCCTTATTTATAATTAATTTTGTAAATAACTTCCCTTATTTATAATTAATTTTTCTATTTCTTCTTTATTTGATGTTTTATTGTGAAATTATCTTGTTCTTTTTATTTTTGTTCATATTTTCATTTTTGTCGATAAATCAATTTAGGATGAAAAAACATATGAGAGTTCGACTTTACACCAAAAAATAGCTTTCATGTACATTGATTTTGCACAATAATTTTTTTTAATAAATAAATAAATAAATAAAATTTATTGACATTTGAAACAAAAATTTATGTTGAGTAGAAAACTAATATAGAGTTACTTTTTTATTTTTATTTTTTATTTTTGAAAAGATCAATTTACTAAAAGAACCGAGTCTAAAGTGAATTTCTTAAAAATTGACTTGTGAAAGAAAGTTATTATGAGAAGTGAAAAATATATTTTTTTAAAATATGTTTTACTTACTTTTTATTAAATCAAATAACAAAAAAAGATGTAAAATATTACTCTCTCCGTCTTAATTTGTTTATACATTATAGAAAATCCAATTTATTAAGGAGACATGCAATCCTTAAATTTTAATTCAATTTTTGAAATCAACCTAAAAAAAAAAAAAATTAATTTAGATTTGAATTTTTTTTTCCCCATCATAGCCCTTCTATTTCAATTTTAAACATTTCAAAATAGAATGTGAATAAACATTTTAAAACAAATTAAAAAAAAAAGAAGAAAAAAAAATGGATCAATAAAATGGGACCGTCAGAGTATATTTTAGTGAAACATGTTAGGTGGAAGGAATTACATGTGGATGAGTGAGTGACACAGCCAAGGCAAGCAAGGAAGGAGTAATAATGGAATCTATACTCTCTCCTTCAGTTCCTCGTTGACTTTTTACTTGCTAGGTTGTTGGGACTAATTTTTGGTCCAAATTTTGATGATTCAAACTGTTTATATTTTAAGATTTATTGAATATATCATATATGTTAAAAAACAAGTTGATCGGATATTAGAAAATACATGTTCGAATCATTAAACTAAAAATTATTTTTTTAAAAAATTTAATAAACAATTTTCTGAATATATACTTCTGATATTCGATTAACGTGATTTTTTATAAATTATTAAAATTAAGCTTAAAAATGAGCCCAATAACCTAGCAAATAGACAGTCAAGGAGAGAGCTCAAAAAGACGATCTTGATTCGTAATAATGGGATGGGAGAGTGAGAGAGAGACTCACAATGAGAAATTCCCTTAAGAAGAAGTCAGGGACCCACTTGGAAATAGCGTACTTGTGGATTGCCATAGCCGCGAGGAAGCGCATATCGTCAGGTTTCTCAGGGCAAAGCATGTCCGTCCATTTTCTCCCAATCCGATGTTCTCGTTTCTGCGCCTCTGTAAACCCTATTCCACTACTGACGATCACCAGTTTCTCCACCATCTCTGGATAAATATGAGCCATCTGATACCCGACCCAACCCCCGTAACTAAGAGCATACACCGAGAACCTCTCCACACCCAATCTCTTCAACCCTTGACCCACACAAACCGCTTGAAACTCTACTGCCCGGTCCGACCGTTTTGAGTAGGACTTGCCGAAGAACAACAGGTCTGGTATGAACAAATTGAAGCTTTCTGAGAGTTGACCCACTTGGCGGATGAACTGCCATGTGGAAGTGCTACCGTAGCCATGGATTAAGACTAGGACTGGTTTGTTGAACTTCCTGTGGTTGGCGGCCCAATAGTGCATGGTGGTGTGATCATCTAAGTCGACGGTGCATGGTGACAAACCACAGGTTCGGTAGTAGAGGGATATCATGGCATCAACGATTGTAACAATGAAGGGGAATCGATTCATATGGGATAAACCCAACTCTATGAATTGTGATGTCGCAATTTTGAGGGAGAGATACACTGGGAGGAGATCATGAAACCACTTTTTGAAGTCAAACTGAAACAAGTCCATCATGGATGGATGGATGGGCAATTGAGATGTCATATGTGCATCACAACGGAATGCTCCCTCCTCAAAGTTGTTTACTCTAGTGGGATTTGAGATTTTTAAAATTAAGAATTTAAAATATATATAAATATATATAGTGGGTGTTTGGGAAGTGAGTTTTTTTGTAAGTTTTTTTAGTTGTAGGATATTATTGGAGAAATTTTTTTTTTTTTGTATTTGGGAAAATAGTTGGGTTTTTTTGTGGTTGGATATGATATTTGTGAGATAAAAAGTAAAATGATTATGGATTTGATGTGATATTTTGTTTGGATTGATTTTTTTTGGTTTTGTAACCAATTTGTCTTTTAGTGAAAAAATAAAAAAAAAACCAAAAACCAAACTTCCCAAATCCATGCTATGCACAACATGTAAAAACATTAAAAATATATTTTTATACAAAATAATATAAATAATTAAATTTTTATATGTAAATTATTAAATCCCAAAAGATTGAAATTTACAATTTAGGTCCCACAATTTATTTATTATTTTTTTAATTTCTCACAAATTTAACCATGTAACTTTCAACCCCCTTACTAGAATTGCAAACGTAGGTACGCTCAACCAAAACAACTTGAGTTGAGCTTAAAATTTTTTAAAGATTGAATAACATAATTTTTAATTAAGTGAAAACTTATGCAAAAATTTAAAAATTTAAATTAAATTTGAGTGGATTTGGGCAAAAACACCAAATAACCTGAGAAATCAAAACAAAATTATATATATAAATTATTTGCTAATTTATTTTTTAAAATATTAAATAAAATTAATTAAACTTTAATATTAATAAACAAAAGAAAAGGCAATATACTTAAGATTTCTAATAGAATTTTTCTTCAAAATATTTAGAAAATACAGTGGATATTAGAAAAATTTAAGTTTTTATAACGGCATAAATAATTTAAATATGATTTTTTAGAAATTATTTTTAATTTAAAAATTACAATAAAATATTAAATAAAATAAAAACAATTTTCTTACAAAATAAAAGTATTTGAATAAAAAAAGATAAGAAGAAAATTTAATATGATATTTTCATTTAATCTAAAAACAATTTTAGATGAACAATAAATTATCACCTATAACCCTCTTTTTTTTAAATAAAAAAGTTTCACAAAATAGCAATTTTAATAAAAAAAAAATTAACATTTCTTTCTAATTTATTTTAGCAAAAGTAACTTTTTAACAATTTGAGCTAAATTCTTTATTTTAATTTCTTTAATTGACAATTGAGATTATAAAAAAAAAAAATCTAACAAAATTCACCATATTTTGTAAGTACTAAAAAAGTTATGTTTTGTTCTTTTGTCCCCCCCAAAAAAACAAATTATATTAATAAATATTATTGTTCAAGTCCTTATAGTTTAGAAGGATATAATTTTTTTTGTAAATTTAAAATAAAAAAAGAAAAAAAATTTAATAGCGATCAATAATTTGAACACATGTATTTAAAACAAATTATATTTAGACCAATATTATTATGACACATGTGAATATTGATCTCATTCTAATTGTAGTAATATAATTTGAAGAAGAATTTAAATTTGAAATTTTATTTTTATAATTTAATAAAGGATGCAAAATTTAATGAATGAATATTGATCTCATTCCAATTATATATAGTAACATAATTTAAGTAAAAATTCAAATTTGAAATTTTATTTTAAGAATATAAAATTAATTTATAGACCGATCATATTGTACCACGTATTAACAAAAAATTAAACAAAATATTAAAAAAATGAGAAAAAAGAATTATAACTTTCAACCTTAATGAAATGACAATATTTTGCAATTATAATAGTATATAGATATATAGATAAATCATATAATAGATCATTATTTAAAACTTATATATTATGGGATAATCCATTATAATTTTAAATTTAAATTAATGGAATGCTTTCTATATTTAGTGCCCCTCAAATTTAAATTTTGAAATAGATTAGTATACTTTCTATTTTTTATTTTATATATTTGATATACTTTCCATTTGAAAGTCATAAATTCAGAGATATTAAATATATATATATATATATATAGCTTGAATGAGAATTATAGAAGATTTTTTAATTATGTAAAACCAAAAAATTAGAAATTTTAGTTTGGGATAAATTTTTTAATTAAGACTTGTGGTTAGAAACTCCTTTTACTTATATAATATATATAGATAGATAGATTTAATAATAATTTATATTTGTTTTAGATATTTTTTTAATATATAAATTATTTTTTTTGATTTTTTATAAAAATAATTTAACAATCACATCATTAACCATAGTATATGGGAGAAGTTGAAAAAGATGTAGTAGTAGGTATGGAAGAAGTCAAAAATGTTTGTGGGTTTGGAGAAATCAATAAATGCTGAAGTTTTTTTAAAAAAAAAAAATCAAAAAATTAGAAAATTAATATTGAGATATTGGAGCTCCAACAAGGCTTGTGGATTAGAAACCCTCTTTTCCTTATATAATACTAGTATAGTATATCACCTGTGCTATGCACGGGTTATGTTTCACCACTTTGTGATTTAAAATTTTGATAGATATACATAAAAAAAATAGATAATTATATTATTAAATCAAAATTCAAATTTAGATATTGTTATATCTTTTTGAGATCCATATCTAAATTTTTATCTTCTTTATTTTTGGGTGATTTTTATTTTTTATTTTTAATTTATTTTAGATGGATTTGTGGGTTTTTAATTTTTTTAAATTTAATTTATCTATGGTTTCTATTTGTTTTTAATTATTATTATTTAGGACTTTAAAAAAATTTTAAATTTTAAATTGGATATTGAGATGCAAAATAAATATTTTAACTGAATAAATAAAAATCAATTTATTAATTTTATCTGTTTGTATACTTAATTTTTAGTTTTTTTTTGTTTGTTATGTTATAATATAATATATAAGATATAAATAGATATTCACAACTTTCATGAAAAATATTATCTTATTTTTTGGGGAAGAGTGAAGAAAGGCAAGTTTTAATATTTTTTTTGAAAATCGGTGAGAGAAATTAAGATGGAGAGATTATGAAATATTTTTGTTATCTTTCCATTTGAAATTCATAAATTAAGGGATAATTATTATTTCTAAAATAATTAAATAAATAAATCAGTCAATAGTTTTTTTAAAATCTATTTTATAAATTGAAAAATCAATAATTTTAAAAAATTGATTAATTTGTTCTATTAAGTGATTTAAAATTTTGATAGATATACATAAAAAAAAATAGATAATTATATTATTAAATCAAAATTCAAATTTAGATATTGTTATGTCTTTTTGAGATCCATATCTAAATTCTTATCTTCTTTATTTTTGTGTGGTTTTTATTTTTTTTTTCAATTTATTTTAGATAGAGCTATGGGTTTTTAATTTTTTTAAAATTTAATTTATCTATGGTTTCTATTTGTTCTTAATTATTATTATTTAGGTAAGTTATGATGCGAGTTAAATATGTGATAGATATGTGAATTTTATTGATTTAAAGTATGATAGTGGGAGATATTTTCAAATCAGATTTGTTTAGATATACTTTATAGATTTTTAAAATTTAAAATTGGATATTGAGAGAGGCAAAACAAATATTTTAACTGAATATATAAAAATTTAATTTATTAATTTTATCTGTTTGTGTATCTAATTTTTAATTTTTTTTGTTATGCTATAATATAATATATAAGATATAGACAGATACCCACAACTTTCATGAAAAATATTATCTGATTTTTTGGATGAGTGAAAAGGAATGCAACTTTTAATTTTTTTTAAATAAAAAAAATTAGTGAGAGAGATTATGAAATATTTTTGTTATCTTCCCATTATTATTGCTAAAATAATTAAAAAAATAAATCAGCCAATAGATTTTTTTAACCTATTTTATAAATTAAAAAATAGATTAAAAACCCCCTTTTCTTATATAATATATAGATATAGATATTTATTTTATATATTTTTTTAATATACAAATTATTTTTTTTAGGTTTTTTATAAAAATAATTTAACAATTCCATCACTAACCATAATGTATAAGAGAAGTTGAAAAGGGTGTTGCATTAACTATGAGAGAAGTAAAAAAAGGTTTGTGAGTTGGGAGAAGTCAATAAATGCTGAGGTTATTTATTTTTTTTAAATCAAAAAATTAAAAAATTAGGATTGGGATATTGGAGGCTCCACAAAGCTTGTGGGTTAGAACTCCCTTTTTCTTTATATAATACTAGCATATCACCCGTGCTATGCACGAGATTAATTTTTTTTTTTTAAAAAAAACTATTTATATTATGTCAAACATATTTATAAATTGTTAGCATAAAATATATGTAATTTTAAAAGAAAATGTTGACATTGCATAATTAAAGTAATAAAAATAAGAATTTATTACATTTGTTCGAAATTCACTGAATAAGTAAAACAAAAAAATAACTAAAATCTAAATTGTTGTAAGCATTCCATCAACATTCCTGCATTGTCAACATGATAGTTAGGTGGTGTTTAGTTATCATATTTGGCTAAATAATCACAAAAGGACAAAAAAAAAATTCAAAAAATCACAGAAAGCCAAAAATCACAAAAAGACAAAAAAAAATCCACTATTCCAAAACTAAAAAACCAAAAATCCAATCAAGAATACCAAACAAACAAAAAGGTCTTAGGCTAAAAAAGTTAAAAAGGCCAAAAAGTCAACTAAAAAAGTCATTACCAAACAAAGGCTTAGTATTATAATTAATGAACAATACATATATTATGTATTTATAAAATGTTATAAAGTAAAAATGTTATACTTACATATTTTTTTTTTAACCTTCTTAAATGTATAGACATTTTTCTGACCAATCTACATTTAAAAAAAATAACCGTTGAACTAACTACAATCACATTTTTATCTTTGTGAGTGTTTATATTTATCTAACTTCAATCATATTAAAAAATCAAATTATAATTTTTTTTGGCTAGACCAAATACAAATAAAAAAAAAATGAGATAACTTCAATCATACAAATCAAAAATATTTTTATGCAATCTAACTACAATCATATTTTTTTCATAATAAAAAAAAATAATTGTAAAGAAGAACCATCAAAAACAGTAAATAAAA